GAGACTGAAGGAGAGTTGTCAGGGGTCAGAGGTGCTCCTGGAGAAAAGACCTGTGGGCAAGTCCAGTGGCAATAGTATCCACATTCCAAGTGTACTGCCTTCTGGCCATATCCTCCAAAGAGCTCAAGAGGTAGGTGGAATGGCAGCATGGCTGGAGGAGTCAACCCGGCAGATAATCATTTCAGAGCCTGTACATCTTCATGTTAGGAATAAGTGGTCATAAATGGTTAGGAATGCACCCTCCCCCCATCTGTTCTGAGTCTGTGTAACTCCTCTTTCAACCTGAGATGATCAAATTCAGTGTTTCTCAAAGTGCAGTCTTCAGACCAGCAGCACTACCCAGGAACTTGTTCAAAACACATATTTTAATGTGCTCATCCAGACCTACTGAAACAGAAATACAAGGGGTGGGCCCAGCAATCTATGTGTTAGAGGCCCTCCATGTAATTCTCATGCCTGCTAACATTAGAAAACAACTGACTTTATTTATGTTGATCAAGTGCATTTTTTATTTTATCAGAGAGCAACTTTCCCAATGTCTGATTCTTAGTAGGCTCTCAATAAATGTTACCCTGAAAAATGAAAATATACTTAATTTGCCATGCAACATTCTGCAATGTTTATGATCATATTTTAGTCTCTTTGTTACTGTATACTCAGGAATGAGTACTTGCCCTCAAAGATTATTCATTTTCTTTCCCTTTGAGACTAGCTCTTTGGCTTTTCATTTAATATGAAAGGTCATCTTCAAAGAAAATTGTTGTCTGATGCTTCAGTTATTTAATTCTCCAGAGAGTCACTGAGAAGTAAAGTGAGTTCATGCCAATCATTTCTTTCCCATTTTTAAAGAGGGATATTCACTTCACTGTCAATGATGATTAGTGGAATTTTTCTCTCATCTCTTCTGTAGGATGAGCCAGAAATTCCGTGGCCAAGAGTTTGTTGTTTTAAGACTTCTCAGTTGGCTTCGGGTCTGCTTAGGCAGCAGATTCATCCAAGGGCTTTAATGCTCTCATCTTTGCTTCAAATCATATATGAAAGGGGGGAAATCTATCACAAAGAAAGCTGAAGTACAACAGGTTTATGGAGACAAATGGGCTCAAAGTGTAACATGTGAATTCACTTGTATTATATATCCAATAATTTCTGATGTGTGAAATCCAGGGGAATTATGGGCTCCAGAGTCAGTGAGATTGATGTGATATAAACCTCTTTAACCTCTGGTCAGGGAAATGACTTCTGTGGGTTGAGCAACATCCCTGCATATGAGCACATCTAGCCCCAGGGACAGGTTCCCCAGGTAGGGGAAAGAATCAAGACCTGAGTTGGGTTTATGTCCTATGGGAATGAGAATGCTGATTGTGGGTGAAAACTTGTGATGCAGACATCACTGAGAGTTTGGGAGGGGCTCCCACATGGAGCAAGGTGGGAAGTAGAGATGGTTAAGGGATTCTGAGAGTCGACCAACAAGACAGAGAAGTGTGGTCCAGACTTCAGGAAACCGTGCTAGGGATCTGACTCGGACCCTGTTTGCTAGCTTTCCTTGTCATTTTCATGAGAAAGTGGGTGGAAGGAGGCTCCTAGGATAGAATTCTGCTGAGTAGTGCTAACCACTCCTGAACAGCTCGTTCTTTCCTAAGTGAAACCTGCTACTATGACACGGCTTTGAATTGGTAGCTGGATATATGGCTCTGAATCCTGGCTATAGCTTCTTAGCTTTTTCCCCCAAACTTCAGCATATTTGTTCATTCAGAGAGAGGGGGGTGGATTGGCCCCTAGAGCTCAGGCCCTGGAGGAAGACCAGATAACTGCATTTAGAAGTCCATAAACCCTGATCATCTCATAGGAGTCAAGTACCACAGAGACACTAGGAATCAAGTGAGAAGCAAGAATGCTTGTTTTTAGGGAGTCGAGTCTAGCGAAGGACATAGATAATCTAAATGGTTTAAATTCAATGGGATAATTTTTGTAGGTACAGAATGTCACATAAATTGAATGTTTTTGTTTGTTTCTGCTTGAGGAGGTCAGCTAAGCCTTCTAAGAAGAAGTAATACTTAGAGCTAGGCCAGGTACTAAAGAGGGAAAGGGCATTGTAGGCAAAAGGAAGAGTGTTTAAGAAAGCATGGTGCTGTCAGGAAATGGCAAGTGGTCTGTCTTCCCTAATATCATATTCTCTCTGAGGGTGAGAGGTAGACTTGAGGTGGGATAGGAGACATGGAGTCATGTCTCAAATGACCAGTCACAAAGACCAGTATCTTGTTGGGAGACTAGGGAGAAGAGCTTTAAATAAGAGGGTGACAGGTCACATTTTTTTTTTTTAATTTTTTCAGCGTAACAGTATTCATTATTTTTGCACCACACCCAGTGCTCCATGCAGTCCGTGCCCTCTACAATACCCACCACCTGGATCCCCCAACATCCCACCCCCTGCCCCTTCAAAACCCTCAGATTGTTTTTCAGAGTCCATAGTCTCTCAGATTTGTTTTTGAAAGATCATTCAAGCTCTTTTGTGGAGAATAGGGTGGAGGGAATAGAGCCTTGTCAAAATAGAGTTGAGGCGTGATGAGGTCCTGGCCTAGATCCATTGCCAAGGCATTGAAGAAGCCAGGTTGACTTTTAGAGCTTGAATTTGCCCAGCTAACTTCTTTTAGAATCCTCACCCACCTCTTTGGGGGCACCTAGGGCTGTTGCTTCTGTAGTTGCTGCCCACACAGTTTTTCTGCTAGAGGTTGCAGGTTAAACCTGAACCTGCATTCTCTCATTTATCCCATGGATCTTTCTTCTCTCAAAGATTTTCCGAAATTCTCCTCACAGTGTGGAACTGAAGCTAATTACAAAGAATTCCATGTTAATATATTAGTAAATAATGCTGAACTTAGATACCTTTTGTGAGTGTGTGTGTGTGTGTGTGTGTGTATGTGACAAGCAGTATAACTTTGTACTTGACATGTGATTTAAATAGCTTACATTAAATGCTTGAATTCATTCATGAAACTTTTATTGACATTTACTGTGTGAAGACACTACTAGCTTCACTGAGGGGTAACTTAAAAAAATATTAGACTTCCTCTTGCAGAATGTACTAACTCTGGTTTATTTTTACAACCACAAAACCAAGGAACTTTGTAACAGCATTTGGTTAATTCATTCATTTATTTACTCATCCATCTATTAATCCATGAGTCAGCCAATATTTGATAATCATCTACTTTGTGAAGGAAGAGTAATGACATGAAGAACACATTAGGAGTGGAAATAAAAATAGAACAGAGGGTTCTGGATGGACCTCAGAGTTCTCAGAAAGCCCAGAATATAAAATAACCTCCAGACTTTGGGTACTTATCTTTAATAGTAGGGTCACTCTCATTATTAAAGAGCATCTTGGGTTAGGAAATAAGGTTTTTGCTTCTTAGATAGCCTATCCTATCTCTGGCCCCATGTTCCTCTGGTAATTACATGAAACTTTTGGTCACTGAGTTGTGTACTGCAGAACTTACTCACTAGGCCACAATAATTTCAAGAAATGAATGAGGAAAGTATTTTCCATTACCTATCTGTAGGGTATTTTTCTCAGTTAAAAAGGGACCAAATAGTATGCTTTCCTAGGCAGGTGTGATAGAAAATATTCAGTCTACTCCACCCTCTTCCCCGTTGTGGGTCTGTTTGAAAATTGGCCAGTTTCAGAATTCAGCTACTAGTTGTTTGTATAAATGACTAATGGTCATCAGAAACCATCTGAGAAGTACACCACGCCCAGACATATTTTGATCTCTTCCTCCTTAAAGGCCCCCTTTTAACTGAAAAAGCTCTTTCTCATTCTACAGTAGTCTACTCCTTTGTAGAAAGAGCACTTGCTGGGAATCAGGTGACTTGATTTCTAATCCATGCTAACTTGCCAACTAGTTGAATGGCTTTAGGCCAGGGGTTGGCACACAAAAGCCTGCTGCCAAATCTGACCTGTTTTTTGTAAATAAAGTTTTACTGGAACAGAGCCACGAGTATTTGTTCATTTATTCTTTTGGCCACAGTGCAGAGAGGAGTATTTGTGACAGGACCATATGGCCACAGAGCCTAAAATATTTACTATCTGGCCCTTTACAGAAAAATTTGTCAATCCCAGCTTTAGGCAGGCCATTATCTTACTGGAGCCTTAGCTTCCCTGTCTGTAAACTTGGGGAATTAGATTAGGTTGTCCCCAGGGCCTATGTCCTTTTTAACATTCTGTTGCTCTATAACTCTTACTACAGAGCAGCCTCATATCAATCATTGTACACTGGGATATAAACCTATACATATTTATATTCACTTCTTCAATTTGTGACAAACTAATAATACTGGCAAGCCACTGTAGAAAACTAACCACTCTAAGAGGCTCTGCCCTTGAGAAGCTTATACTCTGGATAGAAGACAGAGTTACAAGGCTTTGAAGTTAAATTATAATAGAAGATAATAAAGGATAACATACCAAAGTGAGTGTTGATAACTAAATGACTTCAGAGGAGAGAGATCATTATGGACTGAGATGATGAGGGAAAACCCATAGGAGAAAGTAGCATGTTTTTATGAATAGTTATCCCCATGGCCCCATAGAATATTGAATTTAGTGTCCTTCTACAGCAGTAGTTCTCAGGTTTTAGAGTGCAATTTTAGAGTGTAGGTTACTGGGAAAAAATAGAATACTGGGAAAAAATACAAATACTGGGAAAAAATTCCTGCCACCCAGTTTTAGTTTAGAGGTTCTGATTGTAGGTCTGGGGCATATCCCAGGAATCTGATTTTTCAAAGAGCACCCCCTGGTGATTCTGGTATACATGGAGAATTTTCTTACTTTAAAAAATATTTCTTTGGAAATTTTGTTAAGTTGCTAAATATTGTTTCTGCTGAGAAATTCATGCTATGTTTTACAGAGTCTTACTAAACCGTACATTTTGTGGGAGCAGGAGGAACTCCACTATCCATGGAGCAATTACTTCAATGATTTTCTCTCTCCTTTTAGGAAATTTGCGATCTCCCAGGCCAAGAAGAACAAACTGAGGACTATCTCTGAAGGCCACTGAATTCCTTTTTAAGTCTAGAGGGGAAATCTGAGATCAGTATAGTGTTGTGTCTATGATAGCTGAAGATAAATTATTGGAAAGAGTCAGGGTACTAACTGCTTCCATTTGCATTTGACTCTTGGTCCTTTTGTGGTGAGCTTTTTGTTTGTGCAAAGCTGGCTGGGGTCAGCCTAGTGGGTCAAAAAAAAAACCCTCAATGAAAGAGGTTGGGAATCTCCAATCTCCATCCCAAAACATGTCACTGATGACTTGAACATATCACCAGATACTCAAGGTACAGAGGAGAGCTTCCACCTGTGGGAGAATGATCCTCTGAAGAGAAATTTGGAGTCATCATCAGAGCCATTGGAGGGGACATCTGAGAGTCAAATGGGTGACATTTCACAAGAGCCTGTCATGCCTCCAGTCCAGAGGAGAAAGTTAGATCCACTTCCAAAAAAGCATAGACGTCTTAGGAAGGCTGTAAGGACAAAGAGAATGAGGAAGAACAAGAGGAGGGAGAAAGTGGAGACCCTCTGCCCCCCAATCCTTCCAACACCTTTGGTACCACCACAAAGTGAAGAAGATGAAGTGGTAGATACAAAGCCGACTGTACTCAGTGCTCACAAAGATGATCCTGACCTTCCCAGTGAAGTAAGGATAAGGCATGGGGTGCCAAAAGTCTGGGCTTGCCACATTTTCCTAGGAAAAATAATGGCAACTCTTACCCTGCAGTGGGAGGAGGTGGGGGTAAAGAGCTTGAGGAACAAAACTGAGATCCTTAGGCCCAGATAAAGCATGAACTGGCTCAGAGAGTGATGCCTTTTTTGTGTATGTGTATTGGCATTGAGGGCTTTGACTTCTTTCTTCTCCTTGCAGGACCCATTACAGAGTCAGCAGGATGAGGGTGCCTGTGTGACACATCAGGAGTGTCCAATCCAGCCCTGTGAGCAACCAGCATCCTCGGAGCCTGGGCCCTCTTCTCCTGCAGTGACATCCTTGACCTCACCGCCACTCTGCTTTGGTCGCTTCTTAAGCTGTGTCTGCCGGACCTTCTCGAGGTCTAGGAAGCGGGAGCGCCCCAGAAGGCAGGGTACTGAGCTGACTGAGGCAGGAGGTGATGCCAAGTCTCTAAGACCTAGCCTGCTGAGGGATCTGGGCAAAAACAGAGTGCAGCCTCATGAGGGCCAGTAGCAAGTTGGTGCGGCTATGGGTTCTCCCTGTGTTTAGTTTTGTAGTTTTCTCCATATTGTTGTTCCTGTTGGTTGAGTTCTTGTTTATCAAAAAGAGAGCTGCTTTTATGCTGAGGTCCTTAAGCCTAAAGATGCGGTAAAAGCAAAGTAACTGAAATTTTTAACACTTAACCCCAGTAGTGGGATTACTTCCTACTTCTTCCTGTTAGGCTGAAATAGCATTCACTCTGGAGCAGTGGTTCCCAAAATTCATGCAGATGTCACTCGTGTCTTCAGTTAGCTCAAGTCTCACTGCCTTCTCTGAGGATGGAAGCCATCCCATGCCATCATTTTGAGTAATGTCTCCAGATATCAGTCGCTAAGTGGAGACGTATCATGTCCAGCTCCTCTCATTGTCTTTTACCTTTGGCTAGAGACTCCTTTTGAATTCTTCATCCTCAGTACTTTGTAGAACTTCTGCGGCTTTCTAACTGATTCAACTATGCCTCAGGGGGTGGTGGTTGCTACTTTTCTTGGACAGGGTAACACTACCACCTCCTCCATCTCTAACCGTGGTTTGGTTTTCTTTTTGTCACTTGTTGGTAAGCTACCTGGCTCTTCCTTTTGAATGTGCCTTTGGTGTTCTCTAGCCATATGTATTAAACCTAGTCAAATAAATTAATAGGCTTCTTCCTCGTTATTCTTTAGCCAGACTCTCACAGAATCCCAAGTTCTTTGGAGAACCCTAAAGAAAATAAGTACTTAAGAAAAGTTGAAGACTATTTCATTTCCCCCATTGTTTTCCCAGCACACTAGGTTAATCCTCTTCCCAGGATATAAACTAAGAGTTTAATCTCATGCCCTACTTTGAGAGAGTAGATTTAAGAAGAGTTTGAGAGTTTCCCCTGTAGCTTTAATTACTTGTTGTCATTTCCTACTTGTTCCAGTTTCCCACTTCATATAAGAACAATAAAGGTGCAAATAGAAATAAATGTGTAAAATATCTGCATTAGGAGGAAATTTTATACTTTATTGTCTCCCTTCCTTAGGATTGACCCTGATCGTTACCACACTAGAATTGGAGAAGATAACCAATGTGTTTGTTTTGTTCTTTTTTGCCTAGAATAGGGTTTTGTACTGTTGGAAGAATGAAGTTGGAAAGGGAATAGAATGATTTGCAGGAGCAGTGGCAAAGATCCTTAAGACTGCCTTGGGGGTGATTTGTAAAAACTGCCCTGGATTAAGTTTTGTGATGTGGTGTGGATTTCAAGTTGGGATGAGGAATTTTGTAAAATGTCATACTCCATGCTTGGAGTAAAATGGGAGGACTTTCTCAAGTCAGTCAGGCTTTGACACCTTTAGTTGTCTAAAGAATGATCGATTGTTTAGAGAGTATAGCATTTTAGTAGAGCTAATTGAGCATTGTAAATGGGCTCAAGCTATTACGTGAAATTTCAAATGATCTAAACTATATTTATGCACATATCTTCTCAATGTAATATAAGAAACATACTGCCACGCAAGGCATAATGTACGGAAAATCTTGCATCATGGAGCCTATTACTAAAAGCTCAAAAGAGAGTAGATATTAGCCTTGTCATTAATGCTTTGTTACTGTTTCTTATCATAAGGTGTTTCAGGATGAGTTGTTCTATCATAGAAAGACTGTTCATTCCAGCCTGGTTAGCCATATGCCCACTCCCATCTACAATGCTGATTTCCACATAAAGTTTATTTATTCCAAATTTAGAGTATAGATTTCAGATAAGGGAAGATCTGGATAAGTACTTAGTTCTGAAACTCTATTGCTCATATGTCTTGACCCCTCCCTCACAAACAGGGGAAAAAGGTGTCCATGTCTCCTCCACTGTATTTGTAAAGAAGAACTTATGTATTCTCAGGTTTCACATTCTGTGTTGCTATCTTTATAACTTGAATTATTAAACATGGTTTATGTCTTTAAATAAAGTTATTTTTGCAAAATATATTCAGAAAAATAGTACAGCTGTATCAAAGTAAAAACAAATTAAAAATAAAACCTACCACTATTGATAAGAGATAAAGCTTGAGGGTCATTTAAAAAAAATGTTTCCCTGCAAGGCAGAGAAACAGATACTGTTAGTGTGTTGTAAACAGAAATACTTTATGAGTATAAATATGATCATATTTAATGTATTTTGTTCCCTTTTTTTCTCATGGAAACGCACACAGCTAGGTAGGTGGTGGGATGCTCATTGCTACAAGTTGAGTAAGCTGAGATTAGGCAGGCTGATTAAACCTTTCCATGATTTTTTTCTAAGAACATTCATTACATCTGCTAGGGAGTTATAACACAAGTTCTTTAAACAGATTATTTAGTCACTCACCTGTGGTTGTATCTTCTAAATGTGATTGTTTTTACTCTGGTTCTTGTCCCAGTGTTCTGTATGGGAACACTCCTTGGTGGACATTTTGTTTTTGTCATCTTGTCCCCACACTACTATCCAAATTCCAACCAATGCCACCTTTACTCACCTGGAAAATTTTAACACAAGAAAACTCTGGTTAATTTAGAATTACAAAGAATAAATAGAGAGGGTTTATTTATTAACTGAGTTTTAACAGAAAAAGTAGAAATGATCTAGTCCTTATTTATTGGAGGAACCGGAAACACAAAGAAATGAAGACGCTCGATCTCAAGATAGCCTAGCTGGTTAGTGGCAAAGCTAAAGCAAACAATAACTAACATTAGGTTCAATATTATACTTTATACGGATCTTCTGTAATCTTCAAGCTGTCTGCATGGGGTTAATATTAATATTTTCATTTTACAAATGAGACCATTTAAGTTCAGAAATGTCCTGGTAAGTCCTGATACAGAATCCAAACCCAGGTTTGTTAGTCTCTGAAACCTGTACTCATTACATTCCATCTCCCAGTATTTATTACAGTGTTATAAAATCTCTTTGTATCCAGTCTCACCCTGTAATGTCAACAACAGGCAATTTCTCTTATTTGCCAAAATTTATATTTTAGCCTCAATTAAAGAAAACGTTTAGATAAAAAGATTATTTCTTCCAGGTAAAATTTCTCTATTGGGCAGTAAATAATAAAATAGTTAGCCTAAGTGTCATTGATAAAGTAGAATTGCAGTGTAATATAAACAAAGTTTTAATCATTACAACTAATTAAACTGAGAAAATTACTTAACTGAAAAGTGATCAAGAGAAAAAGGAATAGTATGTAATCAAAGCAGGGCCCTCGACTTGACAGGATCACAAGACAAAGCATAGCAAAGATGAATTAGGTCCCATAGAAAGCTAATAGACTTAAGAGTGTTTCTAAACTGTTTTCAGGGGAATGGTTTGGGATTTGGGTAGCAGAGACACAGGCTCTTCTAGGTAATCCACTGACCCTTGAAATAAGTAAGTCTACTCCTGCTAAAGAACTCCAGGCTTTAAATAGAAAAATTTGAATTTTCTCACGCTTCAAAACATTCTTTTCATTCTGATTTGACAAGGCCTCTTTCAGGACAAAATAAAAGAAAAACAAAACTGGTAGACTCAAATCACTACACTGAGTGGTCAAGGAATGTTCTTCATTTTTTTTTTTTTTTTCCAAACTCAAGACATGAGGATCGCTGTTGTACATGGAAGATTGGATTGGGGCTTTCCTGAGCTGGATTCCGTCAGCTATAAAGAGTTGCAGCACTGCTCCCATCATGAAACCATTGTGTTGAACTATCTCAGACACATCGTTATTACCCTGCTTGTTCCCAGTACTAGAGGATGCCTTTGATGAGCACCCTAGTTTCCCTCCCTTTTTTCCCCACCTTCTGGTTTAGAGTCAGTTCTGCAGTTGGTGAGAGGTCCAAGAAAGACTATTTTAATAGAGGTTTTAATAGTGTACATGAAGAGAAAAACTCAACACAGATTAAAAGAATTTTTACACGAGTTACATAATTTTGAAATTCTATTTTAAATGATTTCTAATGTGAACTTGACTTCTCTTCTAGTTGTAATTACCATTTTGATTCTAGGATGCCTGTGAAAATACACAGTGCTAGATCATTACCATGGTAGCCCTTCTGGTGAGCAGAACAATAGATCCATTCATACATAGTGATGAGACAGTAACTGGGATTTTTATTAACTACCATGAGAAATATCCCCTGAATATCTGTCTCTTTACAGGGAAGAAAGCAGAATTATAAAGATGGTACAACTAAAGAAAAGAACACATTTCAATGAGCATTTAGTATCCAAACTGCTACGTGGTCTGTGATGCTCAATACAAATCTCCGCTAAAATTTATATATAAAAGATAATCGATGAAATAGAAAATAGTCATCCCATCATCTCTTTTCAAGAGCTACCATTCATCCTAATTTAAAATTTGGTTTCATTTTAAGGTTAAAATTATGAAGCACATTTCTGTGTATAATTCAATGTGTTATGTAATTATATAATAAGTAGTTAGATATTTGTCTGAGCCTGGACTTAAAAGTTAAAAAACTTAAATACGGAATCCAAGTTTTGCCATTTGCTATTGTTTAATTTGGCTATTTGTTGAAACCCATTAATCTTTGGTCTCCTCACCTAAAAAAGGAGAATGTTAACACTCTGTAGGTAGTTTTGGGGATTTCTTGAGGTTACTTTGCTGAAAAAGCCCAGTGGCTCTTTTGTAGTAGGGAACTTTGACATTGTGAAGCCTATTGAATTCTTAGATGACAAAAAAAGACAACTGCCTAAGTGCTATACAAGGGTAAGTTACTCATGTCAATCTTTATTTTGAAGAGAACTAAATTTATTGGGGGGGGCATCGTGTGGAGCAAAAAAATTTAGTATTTGTTTATTCCCAATTTGAGTGTCTCTAGAGAAAATTTTACCCCAGAACTTGGCAAGCCAAAACATCTGTACTATTGTAACCTGTAAAATCAATATTAGTTGGGCCTTTATTCTTGATTTCTAGAACAGACATTCATCTGATCTTAAATTGCCACGGTTTAATGCAACATCTTTTTAAATAAGTCATTAACATTTTCTAAGAAAACTTCATTATAAAAGTAATTTATTCAATGACTGTAACAGAGTAGTGGTTCTTAAATTGTCCTGCTCAAATCCTTCTGAATGATAGGAGATATCCTAATGCATCACTGTGGCAAGGATCGTTAAAGATGGATTAGAATTTTGGAGAGATTATCTTTGGTTAACCCTTCCCTGTATCTTGATAACCCCCTCACCATTTCCCTTACCTACCTGTGAATATTTCACTAAGACTTAAGGTCATTAAGTTCCAGTGTTTTGTCATCTGGATTTTATTTTGTCCCATTCAATAAGCATGGATATAATATCTGTACCTAAACTGAAGCTATTTTATCTCAAAGTGAAACAAAGGAAACATACATAAAACATAGAAGAACTGCTCAGTGCTGTCAAATAACTTATAGCCTGCTCAGAGAAAATAAGTGAAGCAATCACATAATGACTACTGAATACTATCAAAAGTATTCAGACGAGCTCTGAAGAGTGGCAGTGTTAAGTAAGCATTAATAGAAAGGGAAGATTATTGCAAGGTGGAATATAGGAGGTGACTTCTCAGAATAGGTACATTTTGACGTAGGCCTTGAAGGCAGAACACAGTCTAGATTTATCCAGCCCCACGGACAAACAGGTTGAAATTACTTTACTTGAAGGACTCCTGGAGGCTGGATGGAACCAGAGCACAAGTGTAACCAGATCCAATAGAATGTTGGCAGAAATTCTGCAGCCCTTATGGATGAGTCCTTGTGCCCGAGGGTAGGCAGTTCAGGAGATGGGTCAGGAACAGAAGACAGAGCTAGAAAGTTAGGTGCTGAATAAAGGCAGAGAC